TAAACGTTCCGTATGAAAAATCGATTTCCCGAACAAACAGCGAAACTGGCTCCAGTCCTGTAGGCTTCTTACAGTTTTTCGTGTATATTTCGTGTTTGACAACGTTTATTCCATCATGTTTTTTATTACTTTACCAAACAGGCAGGGTTTAAGGGCACTTGAAATGTAATTTTGTATATAGGCAGCGGCTTGGCTCTGCCCCTGGCATTGCTGACGTCCATGAGCGACGGTGACCACTTACCATCAGGTGGGCCGTATGCTCGCCTGCCTACAAAGGCAATAAAAAAAATGTACACAGTGTGCAAGAGCTATTACAATATGCTTTATATTTTTGTTCACGACTCAGGGTACATGTTAAACCTTATGTTAGCTAATGACTCCACATACCAGGGTATTTAGGTATAGAGACATGACGTAAAATTTACAATTCTATTAATCTATATATATAAAAATGAATTGCTGTTCGTTAGTCTCGCTAAAACTCGAGAACGGCAGTACCGATTTGGCTAATTTTAGTCTTGAATTATTTGTGGAAGTCCAGAGAAGGTTTAAAAGGTAGATAAATATGAAAATGCTCGGAATTAAATAAAAATAACATTTTTGTTTTCCCTTTGATGTGTCCCAGTCGGACGGATTCGTTTTTTTTGTTGCAAGTTTATTTTATACAAAAGCTTAGGACTTTTATTTATAGATTGAGGCACTACGAAGTCTGCCGGGTCAGTTAGTCTTTAATAAAAGTTGTCCTATTAATCGAACCTAAAAGCATGAATACTTTATTTTATAAGAAATAGGCGAGATTGAATTGGAAGAAATATTACTGTGATTAAATCAATAAACACAGTGATATCGTTTGATTTCAATCGGTATAACTTTGCGATTTATATTTTTAATCTAAATTCCAACAATACGCCCGACCATTAGTTTGTTTTTTTAATAATTACATTTGAAAGCATATTTTTTTAGCAGTTTCATTTCAGACGCAATTCTGTTACTTTGTGTTCAAAGTTTTTCGTGAACACGTCTCAAGTATGTATAATATTTACACAGGATAATGTTAAATGCCTCAGAATCCATCAAAGCGAAGTGGCTTGTCTGCACTATGCGTTTTGGCTATTAAGCAATAGACGCTTGAGATTAGCTTAAAAAAATCCCAAAAAAAAAAAACCTCGAACAGAACAAAAAATACTGTGGAAAAGTTGCATGAAAACTCACAAATTTTATTTATTATTCACTTGACTGTAATTACCTCGTAAATATTGCTTCAGTCATTAACTGCATAACAATCGTGTTGAAGTATAGTGGGTGGTCGGTATAATCCAATAACGTGCCATCGTGGGTGTGAAATTAATTGTGTTTTAAATGGATAACTTTATCGGATAGCGGTACTTATTGAATTTTACAGTACGTTAGCGTTGCATTCTTGACTATTATTCGTCGATTAGCTTATTAGTAATTATTGTAAAGTCGGCGGAATAAAGCAATGTGCCTGAATCGATTGCATAAATGACGTTAGTGGTTGAACATCATCCAACCTATATCTGTCAAGTAGTAATCAAGATTGTAATTAGGTCATATTTAGTATACTATATATCTATATATAAAAGAACGTCGTGTTAGTTACACCATTTATAACTCAAGAACGGTTGAACTGATTTAGCTGAAAATTGGTGGGGAGGTTTTATCACGTTCCCGCGGGATGTGACATAAAACGTGGTATAACAAAACGCAACTGATATGGAATAACAAAACGCAACTGACAGCTAAACGTAATGTAGTCTATGGTTAATTAAAGTAGAATTTTGGAGTTGACCGGTTGATGTGTTTGTTTCGAGTTTCTATTAGCTTATTGTGCCGAGATAGGTAATCATTAAGAAAGCCATGCCGCGATCATCACGATCAAATCTTTCCCGACGAAGCCGTAATGCAACTAGGATTCGAAACATTGCGAGTGAAAGGACTGAAGAAGAACAAGAAATAAAAATATAATAAGAATAATAATAACAACTAAAATGCATGGCCAATAAATTGAATCATAAATCATTAAAATACTTGCTTTTTTAATGTACATTAATTATCCAAATAAAAAATTGACTTTAATAAAATCTAAAGTCTGCTCATTTATTGCCTCTAAGGCGGAACAAAGTTCGCCGGGTCACCTAGTGATAGATAGATGCGAAAAATGTTCAAAGTAACATTTACTAATAAAATTTCCTTTTTTTTGTCTTCAAATTCATTTTGGATATTTGATGGACTCCGGTGGCGGAAAACTCAATGGTATAGGTGATATCATCGACATTTATGTCAATAAAAATGTGTTCGTTTATTATGAGCGCGAATCCACATTCCGAGTAAATAAGTTATTATAATATAATAATACGCTTATATTTTTGGTAAAAATACCATATCCGAGATGACCTGCCATCTGTTTTTAATGTAGCAACCATTTGACTGGAATTCGTCGCTGATATCCAGAAAAATTGCGCTAATCCACAATTAATTCTTTAATATACTTGATTTGGCAATCCACCATATGCCTTTTAAATGTACTCTTTTCCATGCATCCGATTGACTTGAAACTTGGTATCATGTAGAAAATACATGTAGGTATTTAATGGATAGGCTAATATTTATATGAGTGTTGGACTCCCTAATAATAATGACAATAAATAATAATGTTAATTTTAAATGCCCAGCGAAGCGGGCGAGTACGGCTAGTCACTTTATATGTACCGCAAACATTTCTGATGGACACAAGTAACGTTGTCTGCTCATATTGGAAATGGCCGAAAAATTTAAAATATAATCCTGTACATTCTTAAAAATATATATTCAAGATTAGTATTAGTAGTAAGCCTAATTTAATCTGATACTACTATATAGTAATTATTATAACTAGTGCTGGAAGAACATATACTACTACACCGGCAAGAAAATGTGACTGATTACGCGATAATAGCGCATTATTAGTTGGTAGTTCTGTTCATTACTCTTTGAATAAATCACCGAATTGAAAACAATTTATTTTATTTCGCTACAGCCTGTTTCGCTATCAATACCAGACTTTCTTGTAGTCAAATACAGTTATATTTAAAAAACGAATCTATTAATTGAAACAAAACAGAAAAACAATAGAAAATTTAATTAATTTGTGGTTCATATAAAGAAACGCCTCTGTATTTTTTTTAAATTAAAAGAATGCGTCAAGAAATAAATAAATAGCTCGTTATTGTTTTAATTCAATAGTCGAATAGGAAGTCATCGTTTCACAGCATTTTTTCTTTTGTTTTAAATGAATAACATTGTGAATTAATGCGGGCCCGAGAATTGTTTTTTTTAATTGCTTACATGAGTGGACGAGCTCACAGCCCACCTGGTGTTAAGTGGTTACTGGAGCCCATAGACATCTGCAACGTAAATGCGCCACCCACCTTGAGATATAAGTTCTAAGGTCTCAGTATAGTTACAACGGCTGTCCTACCCTTCAAACCGAAACGCATCACTGCTTCACGGCAGAAATAGGCAGGGTGGTGGTACCTACCCGCGCGGACTCACAAGAGATCCTACCACCGGATTTGTATTATTATGGATATGCCTTTATTTATGAAAACGTTTATGAATTTTCGATGGAACTCGCTTCCTGGTGTTAGCCGGTTACCGGAATCCTTAAAAATCGCAACGTGAACGCCTTAAGTGACAAACGTGTTGTGTCAAGGATGTCCCGCATTTAATTTTTTTCATTTTTCATTTTACTGATGAAACCGTTTTATATCTCCGAGATACTCAATACTGACTTATTTTAGAGTGCGTACACTAGTGCCGCTATAGAATATTTGTGAGTACAAGATTAAGGAATATTCTTAAGGAGGATTATTCTTTTGCTCATTAATGCGCTGACATTTTAAAACTTGCATCCTGTTTTAATAAATCAAGCACTTTAACTTCAATCAATTAGTGACAAAGGATAATCAAATGAGTTCATCAATTCGGATATCTTTTATTAAAATTATTTTATTAAAAATAATTTTATTAAAAATCGTCAATATTTTGACATTTAAAGGCGCATCTACGCGATTCCATCATTACATAACTAATAATTCCAATGTTTAAATGGCTTAGCACCTGTCGAAGCGAAACTAGCGAGCCAAAACAATTTATCGTGACTAAGATTGAAAACTCTCCAAATTTCAAATATGACTATAATGCTAATGCCTAGAACCTAGTTTTCAACAATATATACAAATAATTTAGACTACGTTCAGCCAAAGAATAATTAAAGAATTAATCTTGTACAGTTTTCTTCGAAAACGATGGCAAAAGATGAACAAATGACAATCATAAATTTTATTCGGCTTACCGATCCACACGAAAACTCTGCACTTTTTTTACTAACCGCTATTTTCACAAGTGTTCTTGAAGGGCTTTAAACTATTAGGGACGGTGAATACATTGAAATGCACAGATGACATTCGCTTATTGCGATTGTTTAACTAGGTATGTGACGTAGCCGGTCAATGAATCGGATGACTTCCACGACTTCGACTTGTGGAATGGGATTAAAATCGGATAAAATAAATGGCCAAACAAGTTCACTTCCCGTTATGACATTAAATAATTACTTAACGCAAAAGAAATAGATACTATCGACCAGTTTACCTTGGAGGTAAACTTGAGGAGTGAACAGTTAAATTTTAAATTTTTACATCGACGACTCAAAACCGGCCTCAACAAAATATCAGATAAACCCAAAAAAAATATCGTTTTAAGCATATTTTTTAAATTAATTGCATCGAGGTTTTGAAATGATTTTGAAAGTTACAGTATTTTATTGCCACTAGTAATTACATTTTCTAAAGTCAGCTTGTGTGAGGCACGAAATTATTATTATTAAAGCGAAAACCTCGGGAACCCTCGTTATCTAACCGCTGATATTCCGAATAGAGATACAAAAAAAGTTTTACAAATTTCAGTACAATACTAAATTTATAGTAAAGTTAACATGATTATAAAAAGGCAAAAAATATGACGATCACTCCGGTCAGCACAAAGGTCAAGTAGGCAGTGGCATAAACGTCTTTTAGGGACAACCATTTTCCCAAATTAAACATGCAGTATCTGTAATAAAGAAATATTTATTTGTCGTGGTATGTTAACTTGGATGACATACTAGTAATCGCGGCCTAAAAGATAAGCCGCCTGGTGTATTCGTATGGGGCGATACGGTTGCGACTGTGTTCAAATCTCGCTGGCAGGTACTATTTTTTCTAATGAAACATGTACTTCTTGTTCATGAATAACTTTCGCGATGAGGGAATAACATAGTGAGAGAAAAATGTAAACCGCCAAAAAAATTTCATTTGCGCCTTCATAATTGGAGTGAGCAAAGTTATGGCAACTTTGGTTTTAATTTTACTGGTGGTAGGATTTCTTGTGAGTCCGCGCGGGTAGGTACCACCACCCTGCCTATTTCTGCCGTGAAGCACTAATGCATTTCGGTTTGAAGGGTGGGGCAGCCGTTGTAACTATACTTGAGACCTTAGACCTACTATCTCAAGGTGGGTGGCGTATTTACGTTGTAGATGTCTATGGGCTCCAGAAACCACTTAACACCAGGGGGCTGTGAGCTCGCCCACTCATCTAAGCAATAAAAAAAAACATTTTCAAAGTCTATCGATATCACAACATGGATGAGGTTGTCCGCTTTGAGACCTGAGGCTAAAATCCCAATTATTAAGTATTGCTGTCTTGTCAATCTCTTGAAACCAGAAAGAACGCATGTTTCGCGGCAGAAATGGACAGTATGGTGGTGCAAGTATGGTCGTATTCGAAAAATCTAAATTAAATATCGAGTGGTGAAAGGGTAGTTGGTTTAAGAGACATTTTTGAAACTTAACAGAAGAGCCATTGAAAGTTTAAATTTGGAAAAAATATCAAAACAAAAAACTTATTCAGCTATTTGAATGGAGTAAGCTCGGTTGAAGTTAAAAGGCTATTTATATTTAGTTTATGCGCTGTTTTTGAAACTTTACAGAAGAGCCATTAAAAAAGTTTAAATTTGGAAAAAATATCAACCGAAAAAAAAAACATCTTCAGCTATTCGAATGAAGTAAACTTAATTGAAGTTCAATTAAAGACATCGAGCTGTTGATGCTGGTACCAAATAAAACAGACCTTTAATTACAAAGATGAATGTCGCGTATTAAGCGAAACGAAAACCAAATTGCCTTTTATCCCTCGATATAATGACAGTAAAAAAACGCCAGATTGCACCGTAAAATTAGTTTTAATTATGTAAACGACTCGCGAAAACCAAAGAAGATATGAATCACTAATTAAACAAAGAATTTGTGGAAGGGGAATGGAGGTTTGCTTGCGCAGGTCATTAATTTTGACTTCGCTTCGTTCAGTGCACGTATTCGATGCTCTGTACATTTGTTATTCAATTAGCGCGTATTATTTTCGAACACGAATTGGAATAGCCCAAGAGCCCGCGACAGCCAGACCTTCGTTATTTTATAAAAGCTGAAAGTTTCTCTGTGTATGTCTCCAACACAGGTAAGAACGACCCGCGATTATAGAGTTCCGATTGTGGTTACTTGGGCAGGTAACAGGCAGTAAAGGTATATAAAATAGTACCTTAAATTCGTTAAAGTATAAAGGTTTTTTTTTTAATATTTACTCCAGAATATCTTTAGAAATCATGATATCCGTTGCCGGACACTTTTTCCAGTTGTTACCCCCTGCCAGACACCCTTAAACTTTAATAAATTTTAATTATACTTTCGTTATACTATAAAAGCTAAATTTTATATATGTTACTTAGGGACTTATAAAAATATGTTACCCCAAGAGCCGGACAGTTTTAATGGTTCTTACATCTTGCCAGACACATTGAGAGCCCGCTGTAGGTGCGAGCGCGAGGTAGCAACTGTTCAAGCGGGTGTGAGCGAGATAGAGTGCTTAGTCTATTGTGATCTTTTAAGATATCCAATAAAAAAATTATTTTATTACGTTCATAGCAATATTATAGAAAATAAAAAAGGTTATTTTAATATTATAAAGTACAAACAAAATATTACATGTCAAAGAAAAATATTTAATCGTTCTTATAATTTTCCTCATTGTCGTCGATATTGAACTATCGAGTCGGCCTGAGGGGCCTACGAGGGGGGGCATAGCTACTACCGTATCCGATTTGAGAGTACGAGCTAAGCGGTAGTAAGACCTTTGAGAGGGCGCGAGTCCTTCTAAGAAATCAGACCATCTGGCATCTCGGACTTCGGCGATGCGAGACTTTACGTCGCGTTGTAGGGCACGCATTCGAGTACGATTTTCCACTGTAGGATACCTATCGTAGGCACGGATCGAAGCGTTCTTAGCTCTAAGGAGTTCCCTAATATCGTCGGGCAATTTGAAGCGGTGAAGGAAGTCCTCCGCCACAACTTGCTTCGATGACCTATCTAATGTCGAGGTGATGTGTGACGTTACGATGTCTATGGCTTCAGCGGTATCCTGAGGAGACGGGGTAGAGTCCGGGCTAAACGGGAGCGATGGTGGATCAGATTCAGCCAGGCTAATGCCCAGCGTGTGCCAATCCACCACAGTCCTCGTGACGGGAACGGAATCGGGAGCGCGACCGAGCTTCATAATGACGGGGCGGTGGTCTGAATCTAACTCTAAAACTACTTCGATCGAGTGTAAGCGCAGAGTTACGTTTTTTAATAACGCTATGTCGAGTATATCCGGGCGATGCGCGATATTTAGCGGGTAGTGAGTCGGGGTTAGCGGAGCGATGATATCGAAGGCGAGATCATCGACTAACGCGTCGAGCCGCCTGCCATTAGGGGTTGTGGTGTGTGAGTTCCACCTGATGTGTTTACAATTTAGGTCGCCCGCCAGAATGACAGAGCTTCCCATGCCGAGTAGCGCCTCGATATCACTGCTTAGAACGGATAAATCCTATAAACGACAGCTGATGTGCAGTAAAAGATCACAATAGACTAAGCACTCTATCTCGCTCACACCCGCTTGAACAGTTGCTACCTCGCGCTCGCACCTACAGCGGGCTCTCAATGTGTCTGGCAAGATGTAAGAACCATTAAAACTGTCCGGCTATTGGGGTAACATATTTTTATAAGTCCCTAAGTAACATATATAAAATTTAGCTTTTATAGTATAACGAAAGTATAATTAAAATTTATTAAAGTTTAAGGGTGTCTGGCAGGGGGTAACAACTGGAAAAAGTGTCCGGCAACGGATATCGTGATTTCTAAAGATATTCTGGAGTAAATATTTAAAAAAAAAACCTTTATACTTTAACGAATTTAAGGTACTATTTTATATACCTTTACTGCCTGTTACCTGCCCAAGTAACCACAATCGGAACTCTATAATCGCGGGTCGTTCTTACCTGTGTTGGAGACATACACAGAGAAACTTTCAGCTTTTATAAAATAACGAAGGTCTGGCTGTCCCGGGCTCTTGCTCTAGAATATTCATTTAGCGTGTGGTGAGTTGAGTCAAAAAATGTCTTTATCGATAACAACATCAGAGTATGGAGCGGTACTTAAACAATGTAGGCTACAAATTCTCATAGAGAGTTATTAAATTAAGTATGATCATCAATTAAATAAGTGCATCAGCAAAAACTCGTCATTGTTCGCAAAGCGAAACAATGGAAAAACGACATTTTTGTCGAGTGGCTCATCAACGCCAAACTCAGAGAGCTCAGCACGAGGGTCCCACTTCAAGTGTCATGCTTCAGAGGTCTTTCTAACAAGGGTCTTTCATTAAAACTTTTATATTCCATTCATTTAGTTATGTACATCGTACCGTTGAAGACTGAGCCGTTGAAGAGAAGCTAAGTATGCATTAAATTTTATTTGCAGAGAGGTCTCAGATTAGGCTAGGTGTTATTCGTAGAAGGTGACGCCGCGAATCTATTTGTAGTATTGACCGCGGGAAGCGGATACCCCCTACTCTGTGCGACTGGAGTACAGATGTCGGGTGACGGACTACAAAGGGGATTGCTTAGTGGGTAGGACCCTTAAAACATCCTTGGGTCGTGGTTCGCTCCCACCATCTGCAGACCGTCAAGACTAATAAACACGGCGCACATCTAGGCCCGGAAACCTCGTGAGGTTCAGCCTTATGCCCGAAAAAAACTGTTATATTAATCCATGGTACTGATAAAGAGCGACGTCGCACTACATGCTATGTCTCGCTACGACTGCCAACTCTTATTTTTCGATTCGTCTTAAGTCATTATTTTTCGTCAAAAACAAATGATTGTATAACGTATTGAAGAAAGTTCAAGTTGTTTCTCATCATCATAGTCGGTTGCTCTTGGCAAAGCGGTCGTGGTCATGTGGAATTCTTGCTTATTAAAGCCTTGACTGATGATTTCCATAGCTTGCGAACCGAGGCCTGGCGCACGCACTTGTTAAGTGGGGTTTCAGTAAGGTCTTTGGATCAGTTGTTTCTAAACGGTCTGATATCCTAGGAGCGTCACATGGCGCGTTAGTTTTATTATTTCGTACGATGTTTATACACAGAAGAATGCTAGCACATACGCAATTGAACAGTTTTATAAAAAAACCTGAATTGGTGGCGTGGGAAATATTTCTAATTGGCATTGAAGTTTTCAAAACTGCGGACGGAATACAACAAATGAGAGGGATATATAGAAGAAAAACACCATATTGAAATCACTTTTAGTCAACCCTAACAAATTAATTTCTGCTTTATACGATCTTTTGGGGTTATATTAGTAGAATTTCTTGTCATTATTGTACGTTTTTGATGTTTTACCTAATCCCGTTAAAGTAATGAAATCCGAACGGCAATCCCACTAATAGCTTGAGTATGAAGATCGTGGTTTTCGACAGATCCAAGCTTTGTATTATCGAGACGTATGTTTCTATTCCGTTGGGTAAGAACAGTGTGGCACCAGACAAAAGCAGAGCGTAGGCTGCTAACAATGTACCTGAAAACAATACGAGTATTATTATTTCAGAAGGCGACGTCGGGGAAAATGATATTTCTGGGGGAAAAGTGATTTTCAAGGCAAAGTTATATTCATCATAGTCTTTTACAATAGATTTATTAGTAGAGTGCACATAGGCTTTAGAATTAACTTAACTCTTAGTTTTTATGTTGCATTGCTTTTCAAATTAGGATGGGTACATATCTTGTTTTTGGTTCAGAAATAACTAATCGCAAAGTATAGTCTGTGTAAAAATGCGGTTGCTAGTAAAAATATTTTATAAGTTCCATAAGGTACATAAATGGAGCACATGACTTTTCCAAGTCGGATATCGGTAATTAATGACCTTCAGAACAAAATCCAGAATGCTATTCGATAATAATATGTAGTTCTCACGTGTCCATTAAATGAATAAAATTCTGTTATTTTATTATTTTACCTTTTGACACTTCTGTTCACTTATATGTCTATAGACCTCTAACTAAAGCCTTGTTCTGAACAATCAGAATCAAAATTTATAAATCAACTTTTAGATTGGTCAATCGAAGTTCAAGTTTCCGATAGTCTTAAGCATTATCTTAATGTTTACGATAATCTTAAAAAGAACTCGCACGATTCCATAAGATTCCAAGCACCTTACCGCCTTAGTTTCGAATTCTCTTTTCGTTTGCAATCGTCTTAGGATTTTTGGAATAAACTGATTCGTCCATATATCCTACGACATAATCAATTATATGTACTTTACACTATCCAACGCTGATCCATCATTACGTAAATATGCTAATAGTATAAGAGTAAGTTTTAATTTAATAATTACTATTCCGTAATATATAAGCATGTTTTTTTTGTGTTCTGAGTTGCTGCTGTATTTTGCAGAGTAGCTTATAGTCCGAATAGTATTGAGTGATCCATAGATATTAAAGCAACGTGAATGTCGTCACTCAGCTTGAGACATGAGGTCCGAGTCTCAATAGTATTGCATAACTCTCTCTTGTGAGTCCACACGGGTAGGTACCACCACTAGCACCATTTCTGCCGCGAAACAGTAATGCGTTTCGATTTAAAGGCAGCCGTTGTCCTATAGAACTGAAGCTTAGAACTCGTGTCTCAAGGTGGGTGGCGGCATTTATGCTATTGATGTCTTTGAGCTCCGGTAATAACTTAGCATTAGGTAGTCTTCACATTAGTAGGTGCGAATTCGTTTACCGCCTCATAGCAGAAATAGGCAAGATGTTAGTAGCACTCGCGCGACCTCAGAGTGCGGCATTTCTCCAGTAAGCGTTAGCAGTATGCCGTAGCAGTATGCCGATGCGATTTTAATGGGCAGCTATCACAGAACAATACATTAGACGGATGCCTAAATTACACCAAAGATATTTTTGAAATTTAGCCTGCCTATATACAAGTTTCAAACAATAAAATTCGGAACATCGGTCGTCGAGCGACTGAGCAACTTTTCCCCTTTCCCCTCTTTCCCTACAATCCCTTTGTATCAAAGGGATCTCCCCCCGAGGGATCTTCCTTTCTCCAAACAATATAATGCTGCTACCCATTATCTAGTTAATCCTTTACTTTCATAGTTTTTACTACACCCATGGGGAATAAGATGCTGTCTAGTCTGACATTATATATCCAGTTCGGTGAGGGTTTCTGGCGTATCACCCATAACGGCTGACAGGTATGATTCCAACAAATCGGTATACTCCAGCCACTCTTTCCACTTTCGCCACTACAAAATATGAGCGAATTTCATCACTAAATTATCAAAATATAATTTTAACATGTCACAAAAGTTAAAAAAACAAAGCAAGTTTCCCATTGCCAATGTTTCAAAATGCCTATGGTACCGTTGGAATTGATCCAAAAAAAGGACGCATTGCGGTCATTCATGTCGCAACATGGGACTAGGGGCGAACATAAAATAAAATCAAGAATAAACCGAACTTCTGCCCGACATTGACTACTACATATTATTCATATCTACACTATATATAGAAATATGTATGTATAAATAAAAACCATCAAAATTTATAGAGAAATTCAGAATTACCCAAGTTCTTAATTTAAATGTTTTATAAATAATAATGTGCAAAAATATTTTTAAAATTATATTCTCTAAATCTCTAAAGGTAGAATTTTGGCACCAGAGACTAGGCAGACGTAGAAAATTGTCCGCATTAACGTGAGGGACTTCTCCCTACGTTGATCAGTAGCGTTAAAACCACCGACGCGAATGGTTGTTCTCAATGGAAAACGTTTTCAACGTTGCGAAAATTTAATGTTTGCACTGCGGTGTCCCCACCCTCATCGTATAGCTGTGAGTATGTTTTCATTTTACAAAGTATACAGGTAATAACACGGTACATACATACGTTCCTACAAAGGCCCCGTGTTGTGCGAAAGCCGGCACAAAAAGTAGAGTAATTTTTCTGAGGAACGTTCTTAACTATGACTGCATTTATTTTTTACCTAATATGCATAAAATAAGTAGTTAAAATTCGGGTATTCCCATATATTACGTGTATATAGTGCATAATTTAATTCTCTTAATTATTTTTAACAACAATCTCGTTATCGTGTTGTAATAGTACCGTGTTATAAGAGGATTTTGGGGAATTTTTCTTTTTATGTTAGAGTAAAACCGTGTTGTAAAATACCGTGTTATATAGGAGGGTTACTTGTATTATATTATACAATATTTTAAAGTAGTTATAGCTGTAAGCGCAACGTGCCGATCTGATCGATTTGCCGAATTTTTTGTTAAATCCTTTTTTCTAATTGTCAAAAATGAGGTTTTCGGAGAAGAATAGTTAGCATAGTTACATATGAGGCTGGAATTATTCACATATTCCGCAAAAACCCACTCAAATTTAGTCAGAACACCTGTCACGGCAGCCAATAGTTTTAAATTTTTTTCAGTCGCTGTTGGGTTGTGCGCGTTTACGTAGCGGTTTTTATACGGTCTTTTTGTATGTAAGATGTAATATGAAATGTTGACTGGACATCAGAGACACAAAACCAGATGTCTAGGACAACATCGATCCAAATTATGATCAGTTCTCAAATATTTTGATTCTATTCGATAATTCTTAAATTTATAGAATTTAAATTAATAGAATTTCTTTAAAAATCTATCCGTAAATTAGAATCCACGGGATGGATATCCAAAAGAAAATACAAAAAACTACTCGAAAATTCGTAGTAAACAGTTTATTGCAAAAAAAAAAAACCAGAAGTGATATATCAAGACAATATATTTTTTAATAAGCATTAATTATTATCACACGAGGGACGTGGAACTTAGATTATAATATACAAATATATTTTTTTGGGATTAAGCGGTTATTAAAGTCTAGAGCACGGTCTAGAGGAACCACAGTTTGAATGCCAAACCGAGAGACATGTTGTTTGGTTGCGATTTGGGATCTTAACCGCTTCGTAATAAAGGCTATTCTGCACTAAAAGCAGATCAGTGATTTCTGTGCGGCAGGACCATGCAGGACTGTGATCTCTTTACAATTCAATAAAAACATCGAAAATGAAACCTATTACTGGAAGACCCTTTTTAAGTATGACATAACATTATTTTATTTAATTGTAATTTAAATGCTAAGATCGTAGCTTTTATTCTAAATACAATAAAACCAAGGCACGTTGTAGACGCTTGTGATTCTCTGTAATATCACAGATCAGCCGTCTACTAGAAGAGAAGCGACTTAATATTTATTACCTATATTACGAGTAAGTATACCATAATCTATGATTTTAAAATTGAAACTAACTTTACGGTTTAAAATCGCATTTCTGTCATATTATGAAAATTATCAGCACGATATTAATTGAATTGATCAATTTAATTGACTCCGTGGTGCAGTAGTTAGCGGTGCCGACGGTTACGCCAACGGTCGTGGGTTCGATTCCAACATCGGACAAACACTGTGTGGTGAACATGTTTGTTTCCTCTTTTTCTGAGTGTTGATTATCTATATATATAAATATTTAAGATATAAGTATATCAGTCTTTAGTACCCATAACACTGGGAATCCTAAATTGGGGCCGGACGACTGCGCGTGATTTGTTATTATTATTATTATTAATAACGCCAATGAAAAAGCGAGATTAAATCGTAAACATGATTTTAATTATGTTTACTGGCGAAAGGCAAAGAAAGATGCATATATGATTTTACGAATTACGAATAATTTACTTATTTCTCATCTCATACAATTATTAATTCATAAAGTTTTTTTTATGAATTTTAATTTACACTTCTTTATATACGTTATTAAAAAATCATAAAGTTTTTAATATATTTTTTTATGATTGAAGGATTATTGGGGGCCGTGGTGCCTTTCCAGTATCACCAAGACAGGTAGGCGAGTACGGACTCAAATGGGATTTTAATATTTGCGAGAATTATGACACAGCATCCGTTAGAATGAAACTAGACGTGTTATTAAAAAAAAAACATGTTTGCAATTCGCACGCAGTAGAAGCGAAACCTTTAAAAGTATTCTATTTCATTCTCTCTCGCAGGCTAATCCTACAGATGAGTCTCTCTTTATCTCTTTTTAGTGTCGCTCTTTGTTTCATCGAGTTTCAAATCATAATGATGTTGAATTAATATTCACTTCAACGAAATGAACAAGATGAAATTAGGCGTATTATTAAAAAAAATATAAAATATCAACCAAACAAAAAGAAAATGTGAATAGCTATTAATATGAAAGTTGTTTTTGGACTTATAAAAGTATCATATTATTTATTTGAATTTGATTCTACGAGTATTCATTAATTTGAATGCATTTAAGTTATATTGTAAACATTTTATATTTTATTTTAATAAATTTTATATGTATTTAAATGTAGTATTGTAGTATCATGTAACAAATCACTAAATATTTTCGCAAAAGTTTTCGGAATCATTTTATGAAACACTTCAAGAAGCACATGTGCTGTGACCTACATAATATGCTACATTGCAGTCAATGTGACCTAG